AGAGAGAGAGAGAGAGAGAGAGAGAGAGAGAGAGAGAGTATTTATGAAATACTTGTAAACAAAAACTGCAAGGGCTACTGTTGATTTTTAAAGCAGAGTAATAGATTTAACAATATAGATATGAAATCCCAAAGTCACTTAAAATGAAAAAAGGATAACATCTCTTTTACTGAAACTGTGTCCCAAAGTTCTTCAACGTTTATTTCATCGATATTTAATGAATTAATTCATTTTAGACCAAATCTATTTATTTATTATATATGATTATAACAGTCATAATTAAGAATTCATACAGTTTTAATGATATGTAATGTTGCTCAAATTTAAACACAATAAGCAAAAAAAAAATCAGAATAGCCAAATTATTAATATCAAAGAGTAGGCCTAATCATTCATTTCAGTCAGTGTGCAATATTTCTATGCCAAAATGTACAGCCTGCCATATTCGACTGAGGAATATGTATTCGCTCGCTTTAAAATTGACAGAGAAAGAATATTAAGGTTATATATAGATTATAAATGAGATTGGGAAACTTGGAGCTCGGGTGTATGTTCTGTCAGGTGCGGCGCTGTTCAGGCGAAGCGGAAAGCAGCAGGCCCACACAGACAGCGCTCAAACACTTTCTCCCTCAGCTCCACGCTAACTAATATTGACATATTTCGCAAATCTCCTTTTGAGGTGCTAGCGAGAAACATCTTTAACGACGTCGTCAGTCGACATGATAACGGTTCCCAAACCTCAAGCACCCGCTCCCTTATAATAAACCTCACGGGACTATAAAGTCAAGGTTTTGAGTGATGCAGGATTTGGAACAGACATGTTGTGAGGCACCAGATATGTTTATCGCTGACGGTATCGAAATCTGTTAGCTTGTAACATTAAAAACACGCTCACGCGATATTAAACTCGGCCACAATCGTCGAGATGATGTCGGACTCCTCCATTTTCCCTCTCGGAAAAAAAATTAATAAATAAACAAACGGCAAAGCAGGAAAAACAAATGCGCTGTTTACATGTTTAGACGCCCAAATAATATAAGGATCAACACATGTCATTTTCATATGTCGAATCGAATGAAGTGCTTTGTGCTGCGCTGCTTGCGGTATTTTTGTATGCCTCGTTTATTAGTCACATTTATTTCATCGATATTTAATGAATTAATTCATTTTTAGACCAAATCTATTTATTTATTATATATGATTATAACAGTCATAATTAAGAATTCATACAGTTTTAATGATATGTAATGTTGCTCAAATTTAAACACAATAAGCAAAAAAAAAAATCAGAATAGCCAAATTATTAATATCAGAGAGTAGGCCTAATCATTCATTTCAGTCAGTGTGCAATATTTCTATGCCAAAATGTACAGCCTGCCATATTCGACTGAGGAATATGTATTCGCTCGCTTTAAAATTGACAGAGAAAGAATATTAAGGTTATAGATTATAAATGAGATTGGGAAATTTGGAGCTCGGGTGTATGTTCTGTCAGGTGCGGCGCTGTTCAGGCGAAGCGGAAAGCAGCAGGCCCACACAGAGATCCAATTAAATAAATGATACACAAATATTTACATTTACTTATGTTGTGTAATCCACTTGTTTGTTAAGCAAAATGAGTCAGAAGTGATTGGAAAGGGTTACAAAACATTTCTATAGAGTGGGGTTTCAAAAATCTTCACAGAATACAAGTGCACTTTCTTTACATTACAATTACAAAAATCTCTCCAAAAGCTGGACATATAGACTGATATTCAAGGAGGTCACAAAGAACCTCAGGGTAAGATCTTCAGGACATTGGCTAAGGTTTGTCAGCCCACCATCAGGTAGACAGGAAGGACATTGCTGCTGCACCAAGAAGAACATTGCTGCCCGTCTGAAATTTTACAAAGGCCATGTGGATGAGATAGAAGACTAATTGAAGAATATTTTGTGTCCAAAATAGAGCTTTTTGGTTTTAATGAACAGTTGGCAAAAACTAAACACTTTAATAATGGGAACCTCATCCCACCCATATAGCACAGTGGTGGCGGTATAATGGTTTGGGCAGCTTTGCCCTTCTTGCCATCATTGTTGGAAATATAAATTCTGCCTTATACCAGAAATGTCATTCCCTAAAGATGAATGATAAAGTGTTCCTGCAGCAAGACCACCACTCTAAACACATAAGTATGTCTACTATTGAAAGGTTAAAGCAGAAGAAATGTAATGTTTTGGAATAGCCAAGACAAAGTCCTGATCATAGCCCAAGATTTTCAGCTTAATAATTATTAAATAAGTGAAAATATGTAATTATATAAACATAAAATTAATTATATATTGTATGTGTAGTTAAAAGGCATAAACTTGCAAACAACAATGCTGGGCACTTGTTGGCAGCTTTCATTTACTATTACTGCTATTCCTTTTCAATTCCTATTCCAATTCAAAATTTTGATTACAATTTTTAAAGAATTCACAAATAAGCACGCACTAATTTGTCTGCTGATCTAATTTCAAGCATTTAAGCATACTGTAAGCCTTTAAATCTAAATTCATTTTAAAGATGTTTTCAGTCAAGTGAAAACTTTGACTAGTGGTGTGTATTGTTATCAGCATTCATTTTAGAATTGTTATGCTCTCTATGACTCTAATTGTTTTTTACACACATAGATGAAGTGAATGTTTATCTGTATACACAAATTTGTTTTTCAGGTAGGAATCAATGCCATTATGATTCACCCACATGTGCATACTCTTAGTAACTGTACCTGTCCACAGGTGCCTGATCCACTTGAAAGTACATGGAAAACATCACCAACCAGCAGACAGACACTTGGCTTTAACACTGGCCCTTCCTGTCTCATCTGTCTAAGGGTTAAAGTCTAAGAGCAAAAGCTTACTCACTTAACGTCCGTAGAGAAGCCTTAACGATCTAACCTTTGGGATTTAGGACCTGCCTCTGCCTGACAGGGACCCACAAGGCTTATGGGACAGTGCATACACAAGAAACTCAGATGGGGGCGTGGTAGCCAGACTGAGTTGTTGACACGTCTGTCTCAAAATGGATGCAGCTTTGACTGACAGCTGCACGTCCCCACCCAGTCCTGATTTTAGTCTGGACTCATCCAGTCCGTTTGCAAATGGACTGCACTTTGAGTCAATTCTGTTTGAAGATGAGGACGAGGATGAAGTTATGGATCCAGAGACTGGATCTCAACTGGAAAGAGCCTTGTGTGGCTCAACAAAATTGGATGTCAAGCCTAAAAGCAAAATTGCAAAGGGTCGCTCATTTCTGGGGCAAGAAGCTGTATTTGAAGACAAGTCTACAAGTGATTGTGGGCTTTCTTCCCTTGTGAGCAGGCCTGCTGGGATTATAATGGCAAGTTCTGGTTCTGTCCCACCATCCCCAACATCAAACCACTACAAATATTGTTTAGATATCTCTTCATACTACTGTCAACTGTGGCACTAGCTTTTAAAATGAGGAACATGTAAAATCTTAGAAACTGAATTTTCATAATAATTTACATTTTCATAATAATTACAATTTCGAAACTGTTCTTATGCTTGGGGAGAGAATGGATCATATTGAATATTTTATGAAAAATGTTTTTTTAGGTGATACTGAAACTATTCAGCTGTAAATTATTCTCATTCATATATGATGTCTACCAGCAGACAAAAAAAATGAAAACAAAGACTCCACCACCAGTGAAATATTTGGAGGGTGAAGTAATATGGGCTAAATTCAACCGTAGACCATGGTGGCCATGTCAGGTGACTGTTCACCCAGTTGAGGGAGTTTACCACAGAATTAAAGGTAAGTATACAATCACAGAAGACAAAACCACAGAACACACATTTCTAACTTCATGAACCAGATTCACAACATTTTCGATGGCTTTTTTTTCCACATAATCCACCCCAAAATACATAAAAGTGACATGTGGCCAAGTATGGGGAGCCATACTTGGAATTAGTGCTCTGCATTTAACCCATCCAAAGTGCAAACACACAGCAGTGAACACACACATGGAGCAGTGGACAGCCATTTATGCTGCGGTGCCCGGGGAGCAGTTGGGGGTTCGGTGTCTTGCTCAAGGGAACCTCTGTCATGGTATTGGAGGTGGGAGAGAGTGCTGTACATTCACTCCCCCCACCTACAATCCCTGCCGGTACGAGACTTGAACCCACAACCTTTGGGGTACGAGTCCAACCCTCTAACCATTAGGCCACGATGCGATTGTGTTTCAGAGCCACCAGATAGGACCAATCGGCAGTATTTCCTCAAGACATTTGGGGAACCTGAAAAGCAGGCGTGGGTCCCTGAGCGATCTACTCATATATTTGTGGGTGGATATCAGTTTAACAATCTCCCAATGGTGAGAGGAAATGGACGCCAACAAGACGAAAACTCCAGACATTCTGTAATTTCTGAAACGTCCTTTCAATTAAATGGATATTGTGACATCTTTTTAAAACCCTTGTGAAATTGTTACTCTTGGGTTACTTTGCAGATACCCAAGCGGTTTCTGAACTCTTGGAGAGCTAGTGTGGTTGAAGCAGAGGCACTTCTCCTGGAGAAGCCAAGGATCACCACTCTCTGCTCAGACTTCACCAAAACAATCACTGAAGGAACTACAAATAACACAGAAAACAAAGTGTCTGTGCCTGTGGAATTACCCAACATTAGTCCTCTAACCAATGGAACAGTTGCACAAAAAGACCACATGAACACCTTACCACATAATCAGGGGTCTAAAAACAAAAAGAAACAGAGAAAGTCTTCAACACATTTTAAAAAATCAGAGGAATTTAATTGTGAGAAGGATAAGATTATGGAAACTTTGGACAGTCCCTACTCTGACATTGATTCTGTACCACAGATCCGCAGATGTCCCAAAAGCACTGAGCAAATTTCAAAGCACTGCGCTGTTAATCAATCAAACTCAACCTCAAGTCAACTTCCCATTACAAATGACAAAGAAGTGAAGAAGAACGTGGAGAACCAGGGTGGCCTTTGGTTTAGCAAAGCAGGGAAAGGTCAGGTCAACGGGGGACTTAGTCGTGCTGGCATTAAATCTGTAAACTGTTCTTTTGGGAAGGTATCTTGTAAAATTAAGATGCCAGATTCCGCAAGCATGAAACCCAAAGACAATCACATCACCGTAATTGAACATCTATCTACAGAAGCCAGGAAAGCTCTTGATAGGAGAGTGAAGTGCCTTCCAGCAAGTAGTCGACTGATGACAAGAGCACTGAAGGCGATGGAGGAGGCTGAGTGGATGAAGAAACAACTGGTAAACCAAGAGTCAGCATCAAATGTCGAAACAGAGAATTGTGTATCTTTTTCTGTTGTTACAATGCCTGAAACAACAGATGTAGACAACCATGTCCCTTCACAGAAGATGCCAACTACAGCAAGATGTGATCTGAAAGTGGACTCAAAAAGTAACATGCGCACCCAGTTATCATCGGATCTTCTGAGTTGTAAAGATGATGCAAATTTAGTCAAATCTGAAGATGAAGCTTCTTTGATATCTCAAGCACCTGTTGCCTTTCATTCATCTAAATGCAAACAAGAGAGTCATGCTTCCGATTCATCTTCTAGTTCTACTCAATCTTTGCGCTTAAAGATGGAAGATGTGGAAAACATGAAAGAAATAACCTTCAAATCATTAGCAAATGAACAGAGTGGCCAGCCTTTGTCATTTCATCCTGATGCAAACTATAAGTTTAGCACATTCCTAATGATGCTCAAGGATATGCACGATAGCCGGGAAAAAGATGGAACCACATTGGTAATAGAACCGTTACCCGTAAATGAACTTATTAAAGAGGAGCCATCACTGATTCTGGACGTAAAAGATGAGATGAACACAGTAAGCACAGTGGATCAACAAAAATGTCAACTGGGCAAAACTCCATCAAAACAGAAGATGAAACCAAAGTCTGGGACAAATATGATCCCGGAAATTCAGCTGACCTCTACTGTGTCAAAAAATACTCAAAGACCTAGCAAAAAAAATTGTTCAAAAAAGAAAACCACTGAGATCACAGCAAATGTCCACTCAAAAGATACATTTGACAAACTGATATCTGAGCACCATCCGCCCTCAGAAGAACCAGACACCAAGTTCTCGGCTAATGTGCCTAAAAAGCGTTGGCAAAAGTTTGACCAAGTCAGTGACAAAGTGTTAAATGTAGTCAAAGTTACTTGTATTCAAGAAACAGAACAATTACCCTCAGAAAATTGTGACGTTTTGGTGGGTGATACAAATAAGTCTTGTCCATTTGTGCCTGGGAAGGAAACTACAATCAATGCATCTGAAAATACTCAAGACAACTGTCAAAAAAATGACATCCCAACAGGTAAAATTTCAATGTAATCCATGCTAACATCATCTAAGGATAATATGTAGTTGTGGAATTTTAAAGTGGGCTCAAAAATGTTTGTGCTTTTCACAGAATGCAAACGTATTAGAAAACCTAGCAAAAGACTCATAGAATGGACAGAGGAATACGATCAATTGTTTTCCACTAAGAAGAAAGCAAAAAAGAAACCTGAGTCCTTTACTAAGGTAGCTCAGTTTATGTTAGCTAATCAAGTTGATGATGAGGAAGTTTTATTGTATTCTGTAATTCATTTTAACATTCTGGCAACTTTTTTAAACTTATGAATAGGTTGAAAACAACAACTGCAGTGGACCAGTGGAGAAAACATCTGGCGAAAGTAT